AAAAAATTAAAAAATAAAAAAAATAAATTATGTTCTTACACAAAAGCTTAACCTTACTCATATTAACGAAAGAAAAAAATGCAAATCAAAACCACCATGGTGATACCATTCTCACTTATTAGATTGGCAAAGATAAAAACGTTTGCTAATACAATCTGTTGGCAAGGGAACATAGAAGCCCTCAAACATTAGTGATGACATGAAAACTTGATACTAGAAAAAGCACAATGGGCAATACTTATCAAAATCTTATCAAGCACAGAGGTCAGCACAAACTGTAAATGGTCTATTGAGAACCTAGAAGCTTTCCTCTTGCAGTTAGCTTGACTAACTGCATGGCAAGAAGCACAACTGGTAGGTGTTATCAGATGAACAGAGATTGTTAACAACTATTATAAAATGTAGCAGCTGCCTCACTTTATAAAAACACTAACACAAGAAACACATCAATGCTCACTTACCCAGGCCCAATCAAGTGTCAGTAATTGATAATATGCTCTCATGGCACACTTTGTTTTTCCTCTATAGTACTTAACACAATTTGTAGTAATATACATATTGAAAAGTTCTTTGATCAATGCCTGTCTTCCCACTAGACTTTAAACTCTATAAGGACTCTATTTGTGTTTCAGCCCAGTGTCTGGTCCATGGTAGATATTCAGTGTATGTGGAATCCATTCTTCCATTCAACAAATATTCACTAGCGGTCAGGTGGGCAGTATGCCACATTCTGGAGATAGGGTGCCGAGCAAGGCAAACTCATTCTCTCTCAGGGCTTCTGTTCTAGGAGCAGTTAGAGGATAACCAAACATACACAGACACAGATCATAGACGGTAATCTAATGGTCATGATCCTGTTGGTCTCCAAACAGGTATATTTTTCCATACTGATACCCCCAACTGGCATTTAATTTTCAATGATTTATTCTGTTTGAAATAACTTCAGTACTTTAATTCTTAAACAATGAATCTACTTTTCACCAGAACTTAGTAACAGTTACAAAATAAAGAAAGAAAAATTTACATTATCCAAACACAACTACATTTAACATCAAAGCATATTTTTCTCCTTTGTTTCCCACAAATCTTTAATATCCCAGTGAACACAGAACTTGTAATGTTCCCTGCTTTTTAGATCAGACATTTAATCTCCCTTCATTCCTAACAAAGATGAAGGAACATGGCAAAATGATCTCTTTCCAAAAGGAAAAGAGGTTTCCATAGCAGCCATGGCTTCATCGCATTCAATCTGGTCTGCCCTCTCCAAGACCTGCAGTTCTACCAAAGCAGAGTCGCTCTCTAGCACCTCCTCTTGCAATGATTTGCTACCTCCACATTTAAACAGGCCCATTTTCAAATAGATGGAAGAGGTGCCTCACACATGCCAATCACTATCTTTTCTCCCATTGCTCTCTCTTCCATATTATTGACATTGCACCTTGAAAGGATTTTCTTTCTTTTGCCTCTTCCTCATGCTTTTCCTATTTGTTGATTATTACAGAACTTCTTCTTCCAGCTTCTTGGACACAAAAATGGTATGAAATGCTCATGAGCTAGATTTTGGGAAAGAATCAGTAATTAGGCAGCAGCAGATGAAGAAATTGGTAATGAGCTGCCCAGACTGCAGACCACATTAGCCATCTGAAATTGAAGACACTGCCTGTCTTTCTGAGGAAATTATGGGTAGCAGGAGGTTCTGGGAGATTAGCAAAGCACATGCTGCTCTAATGTTTATACCGAGTTGGCAACAATATTTGAATATTTTTAATAGTAAGCAGAGGTTTATAGACACTTCATAGATTATGAATGAACAGCAAGACTATCTCTCCTATAAATAGACAACTGATAGTTGGGAGAGAGGTGGGGGGAGATAAAAAAAATAAGTGGGTCACCAAAGTGATTTTTAAAAACTGGCTACAGAAGTATTCTGGCTCTGCAGGAAGTGAAATATGACAATTCACTAGCCTGGTTCCTTCTTTTCTAGCAAAATAGCACACCACATTAATTCTCTTTACATAAAGACAAATGAAACAGTCCTGCAATGCATCACAACCAGAATATATTTAATAAGATGATGCTGAACAATGAAACTTTTAAGGAAAGTTACAGTACTGGTATCTTGCCTCAGAGCAGTATTTATATGCTAATGATTTAGAAGAGGTTATTTCACTGGGGGGTGAAGGAAAGAAGGTGCATTTGGGGGGAAATAAAGAATTTATGGTTCTTTTTGCCTACACTCCAACTTTAAGAAAAACAGATTCTTGTACTTTATCATAAGATCCCATGAATGATAAATAATATAAAGTATTGTGACTTGACTTCTTTCTAAAATAAATGCCAGTAACATATCCCAGTACAGTTTGATGAACAGAAAATACTATATAAGCTTCAAGGGATAATCTGACAATATCCCTTCTAAAATTTTCAGCCTCTAGAAGCAACAATGCCAATCACTCTTGAATGACACTTCCAAGGTCATTAATTTGTGAGTTTTAAAGCATTTTAAAGCTTTCAAGCACAGAGCCACCACAGCCTAGTTCAAAATTATCAGTCATTTGGAATCCCAGCCCAAGACTTTAATCTTTGATCTTCAAGAAGAGTGGTTCACTCTAAGTATTTGCTTTCTCTGGTCTATTTTATCTCATAATAGTCTGGGCCCAATTTTTCAGATTCATACATGTTATAAAATGGGATCATGCCATACACCTGAAACCAAGACAAACAGTTTGTTCACTTGCCAGTATGCAACACATCCTGCCTACAAAAGCTCTAACTACCAAACAACAACAAAAAGGCTTAAAGGGGGATTTGGGGAGAAACCCTTCTGCTAACTCATTCCTCATAGAGAAACATTTATTATTTCCTCGGGCACTATGCTGAATTTCTACTTTTACAGCTGTAATTTCCACTTGTGAATTGTGGAAGGGGCTTAGGGAATGGAAGAGGAAGGGGTCAAAATTCTATGAAAGACACATTGCTTTTAAGGGTACTATAATGAGATTTGCAGAAAAGTTATTGATCCGTGCCCTTTCGTTTTATTTCCAATATACACTACAGTCATGTTATTTCCCTATGAAAGTTTAGTGTATTCATCTAGGGACTTGCAGCAACAGGGCAAATAGCAAGCCAGAATTTTGGAGTATTCATTAGTAAGGAGGCAAAAGGTCTTCACGGAAATCCAGGCACCAGGCAAAGAAAGAAGAAAAGCAAAGTTCAATTTAGAACCATTCCCCAGCCTCTCTAGATGACAATGTGAGTGATCAAAGAACATGGAAGTTCAAGAAGGAAGCAAAAATAAAAAAATAAAAAGTGTGTATTCATATATACTTATGCATGTAATAGTTCTTCCTGGCGCTACTTTACTAAATTCTAATCACATGACCTCATCTAGTGCAAGTAACCCTCTAAGACATGGGTTATCTTCTTCAGATTACAGCGCTGGCATTCAAAATCAGGTCTGCTTGACTCCAAAACATCAAAATACATTCTTTGAAATGGTCTATGGCAGGAGATGGGTGGAAGATGGTTTCTTCACCAACAGCATTTTTTTTTAAGACTTATTTATTTGAGAGAGAGAGAGAGAGGAGTGGGAGAGGGAGAGAACCCTCAAGCAGAATCCCCAATGAGTGTGGTCTGATGTGGGGCTCAATCCTATGACCCATGAGATCATGACCTGAGTCTAATGTGGGGCTCGATCCCATGATCCATGAGATCTTGACCTGAGTCTGATGCGGGGCTCAATCCCATGACCCATGAGATCATGACCTGAGTGGAAACCAAGAGCCACCCACGTGTTCCCATACCAACTGCATTTTTTAAAGAAGTTTTTAAGGGAATTTATTTTTGATGAGTTTTTTTTTTTGACGAGTTTTAAAGTATAATCAAAATCAATGTTATTTAGATATATCAAAATATAGAAAATGTAAATAGAACACATTAATTTTCCCAAAATATTTGAAGTCTGGGGAATTCTAAGCAAGCTATGATTTCTCCTTAAATTTATTATTTGCTCTTTAAAAAAGTATTTCTTTAAGTCCTAAGTACAAACAGTAGAGATTCCTTAACAACAGGTCCATGAGATTATGATCCCTTCTATATACTATCTGGCACCTCCCAGGAACTTACATTCTTGGAGCAACTGAGAAGACCTTCTCCACTTTGCCCTTTGTCCTCACACAAAGTTGTAGTTTCCAGTGGTTTCTCCCTACCTCACACTGTAACAAATTCCTGCTCTGGTATACATGGAGGGGGACAGAAATAGAGAAGAGGGGCAGGGAACAGAACCTGTGTAGAGTATATCTTGGATTTTGTAGAAAAGCCTCCATTTCAAATATCTTGTCCCATGGTCAAGTGATATCACTCTATTATGCCCTGAACTCTGGTTTGGAGACATGATCTCTCAGTGTATGAGTCAAGACAGAGTTAGGACTATAGAACAATTTTAGGCTCCCCTTATGAAACAAGAATTATGAAATCCAAATCCTATTAGCTATCTTAAATAGATAGAGGAACTCCTGAAACGACCTATCTTTTTGGTAAATATCATCACACATTAAAGAAGCAAGCACAGGACAGAGAAAGACTATATAATGCATTCAACTCCAAGGCCAGTCACTTTTTCTGTCACCTTGAACTAATTACTAGTTTCTGAGCCCCAGTTTCCTGGACTGTAAAATGTAGATACTAGATAAGTAGCTCATAAAGTTGTAGTGAGAAATAAATGAGATAATATATGCAAATGACTTGAGTACTGCTTAGTATTTAATATTCAATCGCTACATTTTTCATTTTTTTCATTTGAGTATGAACAATACGCTTTAAAGCTTCTCAACTACATCAAAAACCAGCTGAATGATGCCTATTCAGCCATTTTCATCAATCTGAGTTTGTATCAGCTCTAGCAGCCCAAGTCGAAGAAATAACATCAGCAAAAGTTGTTCACCTAGCCCCCATCCTAAAAAATGTAGAGTTCTCAAAACAACACATCACATGCCAGTTACCTTGGCTGGTTCTCCACAGTGAGGCTCTCTCCCCTCTGATAGCCACTGTCTGCCACCTGGGTGGTAGACCTCTTCACAATCTGCTGCAACTCCTGCTCCAAGCGCTCTTTGATCGCCTTCACTGTCTCTGGAATCTTCTTCAGTTTGGCCAGTCCTTTGATGAGAATGCCCATAAAAAGGGTGCTATTCTCCTCTGGATCCAATTCCAAATCCTCCTTGATGTCCTGCAGGTTTATTTCCCTTGCTGTAAGAAAAAGAAAAAAGTTCCATTACAAGATTCAAAAACAGAACAAGTTGAATAAATGAGATCACAGCTTTGATTACGTCTTAAAGGAGCAAGAGATTTTTCAATTAAATTTTTAACTAAATTATATTCACATAGTAACGAAGAATCACAAAATAAGTTATATTCCGTGAATCATACCCATCAGTTATAATAAGAGGTGGAAGCCATTAAAAACAAGCAAATGTCCACAGAAAGTTTCCCACAGACTGCCACTTCTACAATGAGCCAGTCAGTTCATGACATTTATTAAGCATTTGCTGCTTATAAAATGCCATACTTGAGTGCTACAGAAGAATTCTAAAGAGCCTGACCACAGTCTCAAAACTCTTATTTGGCAGTTAGAAAAGAAAGTAACTTGATAAAAAGAGGTAAGTTAAATAAGGTAAATCAGTTAAAACAAATGACTAGAGATATAGAAAAATGAAGAATGATATGTGCAAGTGAGACAATACTCTGAGGGAAAGAGTAATGAAGAGTTTTCATAAATACAAAAGAACCACCTTCTATTTAGATCTACTATAATACTGTCTACAGAAAACAGGTCTTGCTAATCCATGTTAGTTTTCTGAGAAATAATTCTATGTGTCCAAAGTCTCTGCAGATCTGTTAACTATAGCTTTCATCAAAACCACCTGGTTTGGGAATGAAAGAGGACAGCCTAGCACAGTGGTTCCTACCACCCAGTGAGGAGCTGGGGAAAAGGAGGGATAGGGATCTGAGATCTCTGCTATCTATTGACCACCACATGCCTTCCCCTCAGACTAATGCACACTCACAGAGATATGTACCCCAAAATACTCAAAATAATTCTCTCATTTTAAAAATGATTAAGAAAGAATAAAGCAAAAGTGAGTAAAAGCTGGAAAATGAACCCTACATAGTTAAAGCCTTCCCCATCTTCCTTCTTCTCTATTCTTCAAAATAACTGGCAGGTTTTTAAAATATGTGATATCCTGAAAGAGAATGCATGCCATTCTACTTAGTAGACTCAAGCTCAGTGATACTATGAGTTCACTCCAGGGTTTTCAGCACCACTCCAATCTATTTATTAGGGAAGAATGAAAGTATCTCATGATGGAGTAAATCCTTGTAACCACTGCATAAAGTCTCCCAAACCCCTACTTCACATGATATGCAGGCCATTCTCCTCATACCCTTTTCTTTTTGTTCCCAATTCATAAAATGTACTTAAATCTGAGCCCAAAGAAGTTAAGGACATGCAGGACATAATTACTTCAATGAGCTCGATCTTCACTGAAAAAGTCCCCTACGTACTTATCCATGAGGCAGAAAACCATGTGGAGACACAGAAGCATATCAAGAATGACCAAATTCCTAAGATTTTCTTTGCAACATAGAGGACATTTGATGATGTGGTATTTAATTTAATAAATTTTAATACTAATCAAGTGGGAGTAGAAGCAAGGTGGCTTAAGCCTCTGAAAATGACAATTCTGATGGCAAATAAAAAAAAAGGCTTTGATATTTCCAAATGTGACATTCCAAGAAATAGAATAGACATTTTAGTTACTGGTTTTGTTTTTATACATTAAGAACTAGATACCTCAGACCACAGAATTCCTGCATCCTGCAAAACCAATCCCAGCAGTGAGAAGAGAGAAATACTTAGCAGCCAAGGAGCCTCTAAATTCAGCATGTTAGAGAGGGAAAATGAAGCACAACTATAAGCAGAGCTTCAGGCAGGGAAAAAAGTAATAAAAATTTAGCTGAGAGAAAATCATCTTCACGAAAGAGCACATATGAGTCACCAACAGACACAAGGCAAGGGCCACCTGCATGTTGCAACCACCTGCTACAGGAGCTATTGGTGATGAGATAAATGTAGTTTAAATCAACGAGGCCCTAAGATGGTGTGGCATATAGCTACTTACATGTGTACTAATATGATAGATGAGCTATTAAAAAAATAACAAGCAAAGTATGAGTAATAAAATGCCACAGCCCCAAATGGCACATTTGTTTAGAACCTTATCTTTCTGTTTGTCTCCTGAAATCACCTAGAGCATAAACACTGAACAGATCCAATATTAATTGATTTATATTATCTATTTCACTTACACCAGCCGAAAATTAAAAGGCAATTTAAAAGGATAATATGATCAACCACAAAGACTAGCCCAATAATCACAAAAACCCTATGAGGTCAGATAGAATTATTGGTGCTTTATGGAAAAAGTCTTGTACAAAAAGAATGCAGCTGCTATTCAAGGGTCTCACACCACAACTAGAACAAAACATGCATACTTCCCAATGACGGAACACCAAATCCTTCCCTTGTATCTATAGTGATATAATATGTACTCACTGTGTAGGTTTTAGAATACTTTATAATTAGAAATACTGTACTCTCTTACCCAGTTCTCTCTGACCTTTTTTGCTCTGAAGATGCTTATCAAGCAAGGATTTCTTGAACCTGGTTTTGAAGACCCTCACTGGCAGGACTGTGCTAAATATGGACTTTCTTGTTCTTATTCATTACTACTGCTAATATCCTACTGGCTCCAACTGTTCCTTATTACACGCATAGACAGACAGGGAAGGAAGCAGAGAGAGATGGATGTGTAGATATACATGCCTAAGTAGATATAAATCGTGTCTGTGGTTTCAGGCTAAGTATGGATTCATGAAGGTTTAACAAGACGCTTTGGGACTCATGAAATGATTAACTAGACGGTATCTCCAGTCTTTTCAAGCTCCAAAATTCCATGATTCTACTACCTTAGAACAAACCTATACATCTCTGGTTCCATGGCCTATAGGTAATTATGTGCACCTAGATTACAGATAGCCCATTTAAAAAAATGACAGATGAAGTGAATAATCCATTTAATCAGCTAAGTGTTCTATAAAAGAAAACTAACTTTTGTTTCCCAGTGAGTACAGGAAGCAATGTAGACTAGTCCATAACTGCTTTCTTTTCTTGGTACATCTGGTAAGAAAATATTAGTAACACATGCCATGGTTATATACACACATCATCAAATTTGCACAAGAACCCTGGTGATACATTTTAACTTTGTACTGAATAAGCTTTACTATTTAACTTAACATTTATACGTGTTCATGAAATTTTAAGAGACAATGGTAGTGTTTCCCACAGAAACTCCTGGTAAACATCAGCTTTATACTATGCATGGAAACTAAAGTAGGTAAATATGATGTATATGATTTGGACCTATATATATGACTTCATTTACATGCTGTATTCAAGAACATTATGTCTATATAACAGGAGAACTGTGTCATGTTGAACAGAATCCAATATGGTAAGGAGACTTCAAAAAAATTACCAAGCCTAATTAGCCCAATAAAGTATCAAGAGAATTACATATCCACAGTGCTGCCCCCAAAGATGGGAATCTGTCCTCAGAAGAGTGATGATACTGTCAAGTAGAAAATAAGAAGTTACCACTTAATAATTCTGTGTTTCTGGCCAAAATGGCACTGTAAATTCTCAAGATAACCCAATCTCGAAACACAGTTATACACAATATATGAACTAAGAAGTTATAAAGAAATAGTCTGGTTCAAAATGGAGAGTAACACTTCTGTAGACTAGGGATAGAAAAAGTAAGTGAGGCCAGAGTCTGTGTCCAACAACCTCTGTGTGGAGAAGCAGGCAGGCAAGGTCTGGCCCATGGGTGTTACAGAGAGGTCACCTGCACCACTGGCCAGATGAGCTGATAAAATCCTCTGTCAAGGGCTATGAGCACACAACCAAATCAAGCTCTAGACCAATGAGGTAGGCTTCTGGCCCTATCAAAATCCTTATCTTCAAGTCCCAGTGGAGATAATTGGTCAACTCTATATCTTAAATACCATTCGTTTCACCGATGAAAAATTACTTCTAACATCTTTTATTCTAATTAATGCACCCACTGGTACAGATGGAGACAGCAGCATCTGATGCACTGGTTGCCCCTGGAGTATAGAATCTTGATTAGGGTCTTTCAAATGTTAACTAACTACCCCTGAAGTGTGCATTCCTTGATTAAGGTACTTCAAAAATGTTAACTAAGCACCCTTAAGGTGCAGATTAAATTACTTTAAAGGAAACTACAGACAATATAACACCCCACTCCTGAAAGGAGGCTGCCAAAAGCTACTGCTAAATGCTACTTGGAGCTATCATTTACATGAAGCTAGGGGTTTCTTTTCTTCCTCAGCATAGTAACAGTTTCAACTCAGAGGTAGAGATGAACCCCACATTGCAGTGAGATAGATTTGAAAGCACAATGAATATGCACTGGTCCTTCCATAAGAGAAAGTGGGTCATGGGGAAAATGATGGTATGTTTCAGGGGGAAGATGGAGTGCAAGGTAGACTAATATGATAAAAACAAACAAAACTGACACATGTTCAGTTTCCCTTGGGACAACACTTGACATAAGTTCTCTCTTTTGGAGCCAGAAGGATGCATCTTTGAAGGTCAAGGAGTAGCCACCAGCAGAGAAGTGGTTACTAAAAATTTTAAGAGGGATATAGAATAAGAGAAGACCCATGGAACCCATAAAGAAATCGACAGTTTATATCAATATTCAATAATGTGTTAGGCCTTGTAAGTTCAATTGCTCAAAGAGACAGTACGATCCTGTAAAAAGAGCAAGAGCTGAGCATCATACAACTTTAAATTTGATTATCAACTCTACTACATTCTCATTGTGTAAATCTCTCACAAGTCATTAAATCTTGCTGGACCTCAATTTTTCCATCTGTAAAATGGAAATAATATTATCTACACAACTGTGTATATTAAATGAGGTAATGTGACATCAAAGCCCAAAAACAAACACCCAAGAAAGTAAAAAAAAAAAAAAGTACTTTTAGGACTTCTAGCTTTAGGAACTCCTGGATTGCTGGAGACAATAGTTGCTTAGGTGCCCATTTCTCCTTATTTCCTCCAAAACAACAAAGAACAACCAGAAAAACAAACAAAA